GACGGTGTTCATAGCAGCTCTGCCCAGGTGCGAGCCCGTGACACTATGGAACGCTTTGCCGAACGGCTTGTGAGAGAACAAGACTTTTCTCCCTCGTCGTTCCAGCTTTTTTGTCGAGAGCTCCGTGCAGCTTGGTTTCTGGAACCTGGTGGTAAGTCACGAAGCTCTAGCCGGCGCGGGGCTGCAAGGGCCGTAGAGCCCCGTCTCGTGCTAGGCAGCTTTCGCCATGGAGGTGTGGTAGGCACCGCAACCGCGACGAAGCATTGGCCTCAAACGGCGACTTACCTCAATGGGTATTTAAAGGGTCGCTGTGAGGATGCCGGCGTGGCCGCCGAGTCGTGGAACTCCTTGGCAGTGTCGTTTACCGGGGACATGCCGCTGCACCGTGACTCCAACAACCGGCGCGGTACACACAACTTTTTGTGTTGTGCAGGCAAGTTTTCCGGAGGTGAACTTTGGGTGGAAGACGCAGAAGCGGTTAAGACTCAACACCGCTCGGCTCCGTGCCCTTGGCACGAGGAGCCACATCCACCAAATTAAAAACACCCGTGAAAGGAGGCGCGTTGGTCAAATTCGACGCCAGAGTGCAGCATGGGGTTTTGCCTCACACTGGGGAGCGCACCTCAGTAGTGGCATACTCCATCTACTTGCTGGACGAGCCTCTTAGCAGGACGGCTCTGCGCCTTGGGTTTGGAGCAAGCTTTGGTTCTACCGAGGCTGGTGGTCTCCGCTCCAAGGGAGCGTGGAGCGTTTTTACGCCTTTAGCTGAGGCTGTGCTCATGCGGTGCAGTCCTCACAGCAATGGGCCTAAGGCTGACTCGCTGTTGGCCAGGCTCACTTTCTGCAGCCATTCAGGTCAATTGCTTGAGCGCTGTTTCGCGCCAATGGAGTTCCTCGAGTTTACAGACCCGACGGACACCCTCACCGTGTTTATACATGAGGATTTCACGAAAGCGAGCGCTTTTGCAGAGATGCAATTGGGGGAACTAGGCTTTGACCTTGAAGCGAATCGCTGCGGTGAGAATCTCGTCGCCGAAGGCTATCTGGTCGACCTTTGTCGAGGAAGCACACCGGGTGATTGCAGTCCTGAATTCGCAAACCACCTGGTTGAAGATGAGTCTTTGGTGGACTCTATCCTCAATGACGAGGTTCCGACCGAGGCCTACTATCAGGCGTACCGTGCATTCCTGCACGACGAGTTTCCGCAGGCCCGCGTCTGCGTGCTCGAGCACATCGCCGAGCTTGTGGAGCTCTGTGACTTGTGCATTTGCATAGGCTTCAGCCTGGGCATTGACAAGCTTGTGTTGCTTAAGGCATAGGTGAAGTCTCTGGGCGAAATTGTCGGCCGGCATGGCCGAAGCCCAGACCCGGCCAAAGTGGCCGCGCTGGGCCCCATTGGGTCGCTCAAGCAACTCCAGGAGTTCCTGGGTACCGCGAACTACAGTCGCGACCAGATCGGACCAAAGTTCGCCGTTGCTATGGATCCGCTCCGACGCTATTTGCGCGAGGGTGACAAGGCGTTTCCCATGACGCCTCGGGGCTTGGAAGCTGTTGAGCGGCTGAAGCGTTTCATGCGCAAGGCCACGTGCTTAGCAGTGCCCGACGAGAGAGCGGCTGCTATAATGGTAGCAGGCCTTACGAGCAGCTTGCTGACTGCTGCAAGGCAGGTCTGGGGGGAGCTCATCTCCAGATGTCCGCAGATCTTCGTAGGTGGAACCCTTTGGCGTACCACGCTGAGTCGCTCTCAGCAGCGCAGACGCTGTGGCATCCCTTTCGTCAAGA